TTTCTATATCAACGGCAAATATGTAGTGGCCATGTTCGTCACCAAGAATCACACGTAAATATATAAGTCGCGTTCCTAATCAGAAAAAAAAACTAAGTATGTAATAAAATTAATCTCGAGTTAAAATCGTACAAAAGACACTTACCCAACAGGTCGACGTGAATTGGCTTAAAAAGAGGCAACCGAAACAAAGGTGTGCTCGAGTGATGTCAAGTGAGATAGACACGAGCCTCGTTTCAGATCTTTCCGCTCTAATGGGCTCTTAACCTGAGCACCCCTTTAGCCTGCTTTGCTTTCATCCTCTAAAGCATCTACGAGTCTAGTCTTTAAAGAATTACGGTTCTAATTCCTTTGAGTCTAACTCAGAGCTAAGCAATGTCTTTATGCAGCGGTAGTGACTACTACGCGACAATATCTAAGGTCCTTCATGTACTAATTTGTTGAATATACACTCTGTTGAAACTGTGTGCGTGAGATGGAATCGCAATATAAGTACATTAATAATTCAAAATGGTTGCTGCTATGCGATAATGTTTTATAATCATAGCGTCACATTCCTTGTTTAAAATTACGTCTTGAGATCGTATACTTCAATCTGACTCTGTGAACACTGAAATACGATGTTCTACAGTCCAAGCTTCGGAGCCATTCTAGTTTTACGGAAATTGACGATAACCCATTTGAACAATCAATGTTACGTATTTATTATTTGACGTTATTATTTTCTCGCGCACCAGCTCGCTACTACAGTTAAAACTTTAGCTTACTTCTATGGATATAAAGTTAATATTCGGTTAAGGTTTCGCATTGGCATTGTATATATTAATTATCGGATGTTTATCTTGAAAACAATAAAGTCATTCAGTCAGTCATTTGTTTTGACACCGACGTGTACATCGGTGTCAAAACAATTGACACACGTGACCACACTAAACTATTTTTTTTTAAGTTGCCACCCATTTATTTAGGTACATAGTCTTAAAGACTCTTCTTATATTAATATATTTTTTCTACTCTTGTACCTTAATCTGTCAATTAAATTTCATAAACCATATCACAAAGGCTCTCTTTATTAGTGCTGAATCAAAATTCTGGTTCTGTACCCAGAACTCAGAAAAAAACGTATTTTTGCTAATTAAAATATCAAATATGACGCTACTCAAACGCTCTACTGGCTCCTGATTGGTTAAATTGGCCTAAATGTCTTGCAACCGCACCATAAACTTGCATATAATAAAAAAATATTATTAAAACACTTTCATTACAAAATATTTTTTGGTTTTACCCCCTTTAAAAAATAAAAAAAGAAAGGCCGCCCCTTCTACACACGCCAGCACATCAAGCTACACATTGACGTATCTTGTTCCGTTGCAAATGGAGGTGATTTTAGAACAAAAATGTGTAGTCCGTACATTAAGTTACTCTGTGACACTTGCATTACTGTTCTGTCATGTCATTGTTATTCAAACTTAGTAGCAGTAGAGCTCCTTTTGAAAGAGTTTGTCCAGGGAAGTACTGCTACTTTACCTATTTCTGCCGCCAAGCAATAATGTCAGCATTATCGCGTTCCATTTTGAAAGAGTAAGGGTGCTTGTGAAATCGAAGCAGAGCTGACCCTGTCAACTATAGACCTATCTCAGTCAGTTCCATACTCTGCAAGACTATGGAACGTGTACTCAGCATCCGCCTCCTGTCGTACCTTGAAGACAACGAACTCCTCAGTGATCGCCAGTACGGATTCCGACGAGGTTGTTCTACTGGAGATTTTCTTGTGTATGCCTGTCACGTATGGAGCGAAGCTATAGAAAAGCAAGGCGAAGCACTTGCGGTGTCTTCGGACATTTCTAAAGCCTTTCACAGGGTCTGGCACGCAAGTCAAGTAGTTTTTAAGTAAGCTTCCCTGATAAGGGCTTCCCAGTGACCTTTGCAATTGGATTTCGGATTTCTTGAGCGAACAGATCTTTGCGATTTAAAGCTCTGATTGGCACTGCAACTGCTATGGATAGGCGTGTAGCTTACCAACAGGCGCACGACTTGTTCATCCCCGCACTTGATATAATAAAAAAAAGGTTGACAATCACGGATACTAAGAACTCGATATACAGAATTTATCTCATGTATTTGAACTTGGTCTAAGTCTTCAAAATCATAGACCGGAACATGAATCGTCACGCTCTCAGTTTTGATCAACAAAACAATGGGTTTACGAAATCGAACAATAATACCGATTACCTGCTCCACAATAACCAGCCAAGTAAGTAAAATGATAATGGTTTTTTTTATGATCCTGAGCTCCTAAGTAGTTACAATAGGTCTATCGTGTCATGTGGACACCATTTCATCGAAAAGTCTTTTTATGGACTTTTAAAGTAATAATTTTACTAATTATCTACTCAAAATAAAGCATATAATGATCTTGATGAATTAAATCCGGAAAAATAGTTTCATTTCCTATGTGTAACAATCGCGAAAACCTAAGAACTCGATATGATCTTCATAATGTTAATAATTTTATTTTTTATTTAATTTCGGGAACATTAAAATGTAGGTACGACTAAACATTTTAAAAAAATTGTTCATTTTCGCAAAAAATATTGACGACCTGAGAAACCCAACGGTTTGCAATGCAGACACTAAACGAAGTCCCTGGGTCGATTCCCGATTTGGGAAATTAACTTTATAAATCCAGTTGTTAGGGTTTTCGCGTTTGTTACACATAGGAAATGAAACTATCTTTTCGGGTCTAAATCGCGTGTAGTGTTATATTATATCGCGTATATACATATTTTAGTAACAGTGGAACTCCATAAGAGTACATCCAGGACCTTACCTACTTCTGCCGCCAAGCAGTAACGAGAGCATTAATACGTTCCGGTTTTGAAGGGTAAGGGTGCTGGTGAAATTACAGGCACATGCGACTTAAGCTGCATTTTAATAAAAGTATATAGGATTTTATTACACGGGATTTTTTAAAACAGGAGAAACGAGTACATATTCCGCTGCTGTATAATAGTAATATTCAACACACCTGTTTCGCTTCCATCTATACAATCGCTTACTAAATGGTGCTGGAATATTAGATCTCGTTTAATAAAATACATTACATTTAACTTATACATAAAACCCACATATTCTGTAAGCCGCAATTAAAAATGAAGTTATTGTAAAGTAGTCCATGACAGTCTCTTTCTAAGCTGTGTAAATATTTATTCTACGACATTTAGAAATTGAAGAAGACATAGAAGCAGTAGAGCTTCTTGTGAAAGAGTTCGTCCATTTCTATCGTCAAGCAGTAATGTGAGCATTATTGCGTTTCGGTTTTGAAGGGCAAGGGTGCTGGTGAAATTACAGACACATGGGACCTATCAACTTATGTCTCAGGGTGACGGGTGCAGTGGCCTTTCAGACTTTTGCGATTAAAGCTCTGAGTGGCACTGCAACTTCTATGGACAGGCGTGACGCTTACCAACAGGCGCACGAGTTGTTCGTCCCGTCATTTGGTACCATAAAAATAAATGTCGTGACCATGGGACCTGTAAAGGGCTTAAGAGGTTGGTTTGTTTGAAGAAACAAATACTAAATTTTTCTAACTTGCTTCTGGTTTGGGTGTTCTGGGTAGTGCCCCAGAGAATTCCGTTGCTCTGGTACTCATAGTACAGGGAATTCCTTAGATGGAAATCAGGTTATAGATGTGATTGACTGGCACATTATTATTATAATTATTACATTGAACCGAAACGGTGGTTGACGTTACCAAAATTAGGTTACATTTTATGTCCGGGCGGCTCCTCGACCGCTATATACAGACAACAATTTTCTTTATGCGACATCATCACGGCAATATGGTTCTTTATGACGTCACTTAACGATCCCCCATCGCGTTTATGAGCCTCCAAGGGCGCTCTAAATCATGTAAATGAAAATATTGTATACGACGATATTTTAACTAAGTGAGTATAAATTAGGGTATTGCTAGAATGAATATTGCTTTATAAAACCAGCCTATTTTTCCCTAATGATATCTCGTAAGCATGTCATCGTGTAACCATGATAACACGTAATCGTGAGTTTCTATACTTTTTCGGGAGCAATTCAATGGTAACTTAATGCCAATGGTAATTTTGGTGAAATCTATAATTTCATACATGGGACTTGTCAACTTATGCCTCTGGGTGATGGGCGCACTGCCCCTCTGATCTTTGCTATTTAAATCTAAGAGTGGCACACAACTAATATCATGTGACGGAACGAACAACTCGTGCGCCTGATGGTAAGCTACACGCCTGTCCATAACAGTTGCAGTGCCACTCAGAGCTTTAAATCGCAAAGATCTGAGGGACACTGCCACTGCGCCCGTCACCCTGAGTCATAAGTTGATAAGTCCCATGTGCCTGTAATTTTACCAGCCCCCTTACCCTTCGAAACCGGAACACAGTAATGCTGACATTACCGCTTGACGGTAGGTAAGGTAAGGAACTCTTTCACAAGGAGCTCTACTGCTACCAAAAGTAACATACTGCTACAATAAACTGCTATGGACAGGCGTATCCCTTGGCACCAGGGGCTCGACTTGTTCGTTCTCCACTCGGTAACATAAGAAAAACTCATTACAATTACAAAATTCGACTCCCATAGAGATAACGTCGGTTATAAAGCTACGGAATGCGCTCTATTTGTAGTTATAAATATGTAAGTATGCATTATAATGTGCCCTATTTCCCTGGTCGAGTGTAATATAGAGCGGTCGTAAAAATTATCAACCAAGTTAATGACGGAAGTAATTTTGAAATGCCTTGGTTTAGTACGAACGGTTTGTAGAATAGACCTCGCTTTTTACAATGGAAATTATTAACCCCACTTTATGTGAATTACACAATACATTATTATAAGTAAAAATTAAACTAAGGCCCACACACCCGTCTGTAGTTCAGCAAAACGTTTAACAACAAAAATTCCAGTAATATTATCTATTTAAACGTAAATTAAAGAAATCTTCAAGCAACGCATCGTCCGGTAAACTACAAAAAGTCGTTCATTTCGGTTGATGACCTTGGTTGACGATTAATTCCCCGATCAAGTCATAGGTTGCTTGGTACCCGGCCTCGAGTCTCGAGTGACGTAACCGGTGTGCCTTCGGTATCTTCACACTGACTGCGAGCTAGCGTGCGCGTGCACACCTCCCGATGTAAACAAATTTCGAATTTCAAACATTCTTTTTTTAACTTTTACAGTTTAAGACAAATTTTAATGAAAATTGTTTCTACTGTATTGTGTTTTCTAAGTGGCAGTGTAATGTGATATTGTGAATTTCAGTTCAACATGGATTTGTTTGTAGATGTAACTACGACTTAGCAGAAAGGACCTATTTCTTACTAGTGCTTGGTAAGTTCCATATTTTTTTATTTATTTCCAACAATCAACGGCGTTTCTGATATAATTTTACTAACGAAATAAATCATGTTCGTAAGGCCAATCACAGATTGGCCAGTGTTACTTAGAAAGTAGCCTGTAAATTAATTTAAACATAGAAAATGTAATACGTATCTTCTAAGAAAACCACACAAACTTCTTGATTAATTTATAAGCATTTACAGAGTTAATTTATTAACGTACTTATTTTTAACGTAGTTAATCTATTAATCTATGAAAGTACGTATTTCTACTGCATGTATACGAGTAGTTATCTAAATTCATAAACAAACAATGTCACTGCCAACATTAGTCATCTGTACTATAATGAATTGAGCGAGTTGTTTAAACTTATTCATTTGCCACTACGTCTATTAGGTTAAGAATTTGTATAGAAAAGATATTTAATAAAGGCGAAAATTGTTCTACAAAAATGTGTTACCTGGGTCGAACCGGGCCGCTGTGGACAGTCGTCTACCTGCAATAAACCTTTAACAAAATTCGTGATATTATTTGCTTCCCAAGCAAAGATTGTATTTATGTATGACACAACGCGTTCTAACAGCAGTATGACAGCTTTATTACCATTTAAAAAGGCGAAACTAGTCCAAATGGAGACGATGCGCCGCGCGGAATCTGTACGCGAGATTAACATTTCATACAGAGATACCTACGTTGCGACTGGGTATTGCTTGGCAACTTTAGCTTTGGCAAGATACGATTTTCTTTACTACTTCCTTTCCTTTGGTCTTTGTGAGAGTCTGGAATTACGAAGTATTAAATAACAGTATTCATACTTAGATATGACGAAGATCGGTGTAGCAAAATAATATTATTTTTTTAAACCAACCTCAAAAGTTTGTGGAATTATATCTATTTGCCAAGTTTTATTGGAATCAGTTAACAGAAAGTGGGTGAAATCCAATAAAATGGATTTATCCCCTAATTTGCCACCCTTAGATGGAATATTTTCTTTAAATTTGAATGGGACTACTACTGAGGTATCCCCTTTCCAACAAAAAAATAATCATCAAAATCGGTTCACAAACGTCGGAGTAGTCGCGTAACATATATAAAAAAATTACAGCCGAATTGAGGATCTCCTCCTGTTTTTGAAATCGGTTACAAATATCGTAAAGGCCTAGCTTACGTACCTGTACATATTAAAAATGAAGTGATTTTATTCTGACATTATTCTAAATTAACACCAATTCCTTCGCCTTGAAACAACAAGAATATATTAAATACTGCTTAAGAAAACCTCGATGATCGATATTGTCTAGAAAATTTCAAACTATCTTATTGCACTTGCAACAAAACTGTAGTACAACTCCACCAAATTGCAGGAATCGCACAAACGAAGTTCATAATTTAAAGAAAATGGTTTTTAAAAGTTTCAACGATTTATTTAATTTGGCAGTAGTTTCTAAAACTAAATGATAGCACGGAGTTATTACAGCTGGGATTGAGTAAATAATATACTTTACTCGCTGCCATTATTATTAACAACTGGTTACACCAGATGAAAAAAAGAAATCGATCTATTTACCTACAGTCAAGTGCACATCAAGCTATAACTTTTGTTCGAATATCGCCTCGTTCTAGTGCAACGAAACAAGACCCACTAACTACAAGTGGCACTAAAAAATCCACGAAATCCTTGATATGTCAATTTTATAATTATCCGATACCGTTATAGGTAACCAAAAAAAAAATACAAACAGAATAAACTGCCTCCGTGACCGGACGGTTACCATGCCGGACGGAAATATTTATATGACCTATGTTTATTTCTCTCGTGAGTTTAGGTGTAATTTCTGTGTGTCATCGTGTGCCAGTGTGGCACCCGCGATAGAAGGTTTCCCTGGTGGTGGCTATGATGAGTGTGTGCGTTATTATTTAAAAAAATGTTCATTAGAATGATTAAATTTTTTACACCTATAATATGTTAGGGGCCACACTCATCGAGCCGGAATATCTTTTTCGCTGTTACTGCGTGGAAATAAATGTCTTCCTGACTGGCGCAAGTCGCGTTAATAAGTGTAGTTAATAAGTTAATAAGTATGAGTCTTTAATAATACAAGCAACACAAATATAGTCAAAGATACAAAATATTTATGCTGCTAACATTATCTCACGATGCAGTCAAGTTATACACAAGATAATAATACATTCTGGAGACATGTCGTTCTCAGACTACTGCGGCAAAAAAGACGTTCCCATTCTTTTTCTTCGTAAGAAAGAGTGGGTAGAGACTTTCGAGAATCTATTAGAATAATATTTTTTATGCAAATTTTCTACTGCACACGCCTATATTACTTATTTGGACAAACTGCACCACTGAGTCTCTTGAAGTGTTACTATTTGATTTAGTTCATTGTTACTTTTGTTTGACGATTTTTTAAAAGAAGATTCCGGATCGTATATTAGATTATAATTTTAAAACAGAATTAACTGCCTCTGTGGCCGAACGGTTACCATGCTGTTCTGCCACGCAGAGGTTCCGGATTCGATTCTCAAGCATAGAAAAATATTTGCATGGCCTATATTTATTTCTGTCATGAATGTGATGTATTTTGTAGTTATCTATGTGTGTATCCATGGCACCCGCGATGTTTGCCTAGTGAGGGGCTATGAGTGAGTGCGTCATTATTGTTATTATTATTATTATTATTGTTTTTGTTGTAGACTGTTTATACTGAATTTTAGTAGTCATGTTCCGATAAAGAACACAGGCGGAGACTGACATACAGCATTATGCTTAAACTTCGTCCTTTTCGTCATTAATAAATAAGAGCGAAAAGGTGGCAGCTCGCACAGCCGACCCAAAAAGCTCTTATCTTATCGCTCTTATTGCATCAACATTAAGCTTTTTCTGATCGGCTCTACTCAATTCCGAGTCAATAAGTATGGTGAGTATGTGTAAACCCGTAGAAGTAAATAATGACCTACTTACATTCGATTAATATAATAATAATAGTGCGCCTATTTCCAATGACAAATAAGTCATATAACGTGAACTCAATTGGTACGAAAATGTGCCTATGACTGACAGCAATGAGTTGCGCAAGAGTTAAATTCGGGCTTTTCGTATAGTAATATCTCTCCGGCGAATGCAATGTCGATATTACGCGTTAAGCCGCTGTACGTCTGTCGGTACATCCTTTAAAGCTGCTGAGTAATTTCAAAAGCGAAATAATGAATATTCCTGTAAGTGTGGTGACTTCTTTAATGAGGAGAGGAACAATATAGTTCAGCCGCTTGCCACATTAGACGAAAGGCAGACATGTTTAGTCTTTCCGCCTCAGTATTACCGCTTAAACTGCTGTCTCTACTAAATTATCCCCTAAAAGTTTGACGGCGAAGACAGAATATCAATGTCCTTAGGTTGTATTTGGCCTAACGCGGTTAGCATGCAGATAGTATCAAAGATGAGGTAACATTTGGAAGATGGTCACGATTAAAACGCGATAATACTAATACGAAGAATGTAGTTATGCCTACAGAGAACGTTTGAATATAGTTACGATCTTGTACAGACCATATTACTTAAGAATTGTTGTAATTTGTAGTTTTTGTCTTCGACAAAACTATCTCTACACAAAATAATTTACTTTTGAAAACCTTCTGCTCACTTTCTGTGGTTCTAAAAACTTATTTATAGACTTAATAACAGTAGGTATTCATATCAATAAATTTTGTATAAGAAATCTTGTACTGAAAATTATATAGATATTGTAATAAATTTATTTACCATTTGGCGTTCACAGGGATGGACCGGTGATCGCAAAATCATTAATCGTAAACAATTTTTCATCGTAAATAACAAATTTTCGTGCTGCCGATAACATATCGTTATGGTAATTCATACCTTTGCGATTGAAGATTGATTGATCGATTGGTAGCTGCTAAGGTAGTTAGAGAGTAACTTCATAGGTTTCACACAAGTGTGCCGACGGCGAAAAAAAAATCCGTTAAATCCAATAGCAATATATGTAACAAACACATAAGAAATTCGAAAGATCTGCTCAATCCGACTAGATCTGACTCCATCTATGTTGTTTTCATCAATATTTTTTTTTCAGAATTTTTAAAATAACACGTCTATAAAGAGACAGAGCTATATTGTATTGTATAAGGCTGTATCTATCTTTCATTTCATTATTTGCTTAATAAATGGAATTAAAAGAAATTTCATTATATGGTATACGACTAAAATTTCAATCGTTGAATGAACTTTCCTCACTTCGATTTAGTTTGTTTCTATTTTGACACAAAGCTTTCAGGAGCTCTGCTCTTTGAAGTGATTACGTAAGATACTATCCAACTTAATTTCAAAAAGTATCTATTACTTTGTAGGAATCATTTATAATGATACTTACAATCATTATAAAGTTTTCAATGTTACCCGAACTCGTTATAAATATAACTCTTAAAGATTATACCAAGTCGTAAAACAATAATTTAATTTTCAATAATATACGAAATGGAGACAAATTGTAATAATGGATATAATGATTTTGAAATTATTTCAAATATGGCTTGATACAGATGGAAAACCAGTATATTGCAAACCCGGAGCATGTAAGAATACGTAGGTTATGGAATGGCTTATCTAACACATTAACACAGTTTTGAGGCATCTTAATAGCTCTATTTATTTATTGCATATTGTATTGCACATTTGTCATGGTAGATAAGCAATAAATATATACTTCGCTAACCATAGTATAATATGACGTTTCATTAGGGCATGGCAAAATTAGCTGAGTGAGTTTACGCTGTTACATTGGAAAGTACCTACTTATGACAATATTAAATTTAATTTACTTATTTACATTTGAAATTTCACACTAATACACAAAGACATATTAACTTACACATGCTTTGTTTTACCTAATTTTGTGTGGATTTTTCACTTTTACGTACGCACGTCTTTTCGAGATTCATTGACGACAGTGGCACCACATCGT